CCTGCTGCTGTCAGTGACAAAGCTCTGCAATGGTAAAACTGCATGTCGTGATGGTACAAGGTGGCTGGATTACTGGAGTTGTTCTAGGTCTTGGTAGCAAGATATCACTTCTGCTTCAGCAGCTTCTTGGTACTGTAATTGCAAAGCATCTCATTCAGAAGGTCAGAACGGGCATGAAAACACGTTTGTAGAAACCGTGTCTTTCCAGAATGGGTATGGTCCCAAGAAATAAGCATATGCACAGAGGCTTTCAGTTTCCCGTTAAAATAAAACCAGATGTCAGATACCAGTCCCACTCACTGGCATCAGCAACAAACATTGAGCTGAAATTCCAACTAATCAGTAGGACGCCAATGCAAATACACAAATGACATCCAGATCAGGTGGAGACACATACCTTGAAGGCAAGCTACGTGTAAATAAGTAGTATAGTCAATTGGTCTACTAAAGTGAGGGTCATGCTTTTTCACATCTGTGGTATTTTTAGTCTTTGTCCACAATACCTACAAACCATAAACTAATTTTTAACCTCTGGAGCCAGAGACATTGCCCAGTGACTACTGAGAAACCAGGAAGCAGGTGCACGCAAGAAGCCCATGCTGAGGAATGGACTGAAAAACCAATAAAGGCAGCAAGTGTAAAAAGGAGACTAACTAGGTCTCCTTTGGAAGCATGTTCTAATCTGAGTTGTTAAATTAACTTTAGCAGAAGATTGGACTAGGTGACCACCTGAGGTAATTTCTACCCTGAATTATGCTACAACAAGCAGTCGTAACTCATTGTAGTCAATGGGTTTGCATTGAGTTGAAGCTATCCCAATATATAGTCATGCAGACAGCTAGAAAACCCTTAGCTGGAAGCTCTCTGATTAGGCAGATTGGTACATAATTAGGTGAGTAAAAAATTCTTCCCATGCTGTGGTCTGACATTCAGTATGGACACTGGACAGAGTATCTGCAGGACAGAGAAAAACTTTATGCTATAAGGTAGCAAGAGCCACCAACAAGTACGAGATCATATCCTCAGCTGTCGGAAATGGGAGCTAATCCCTTGCCGTGAGCTGGGTGCACAGAAACTGGTGGAAAACTTCAAGTTTGGACTTGAGTTTTTGTGTGCAGAGTCTTAAGGCAGAAGGCATTTTTATGCAACCGCCCTTCTAATTCTGAGCAGAACCTGCATACCTCAGTAAGACAGTTCATGTGAGATTACCTTTTGTATCTGCCTCACTTATCTGGCAAGACATTTTTGCTTCTTTCAAACAGACTTCTACTTTTTTTTCTCTGTTACTTGCCACAGTATGATGAGAAGTTGTTTCTCCATTTGTTTGTAGGCAGTGTCATGCCTAGACTGGATGTTGAGTCTATTAGAAACACAGAACAAGAGAACTCTCATTTTATCTTATCTGCAGTTTGGATTTGCTACTGTAACTGAAAACAGAGCTGATACAACCATCCGATGCTGAGTAGTACAAAACACAGTAACTCCTCCTCATCAACGTGATTTATAGCAAAAATGTGTGATATTATCAGAGCTTAAATACTGCTTAAACTTTGTAGCGTTTTTGTATTTAGAATCAATATCATCAGAGTAGCCTTGAGTAATTCTGCCAATTTCCTGCATTTGTTATAATTCCAACATTTAATTAACTAAGATGCATGCCAAGCCATCATAAGAATACTCTGCTAGATGTGCATATAGAAGATCTTAAGTATACAACTTTTCAAGCACCAGTGTCTTAAATGGAATCACAATTACTTTTAGAATTTTTACTTCCATGAACATGTCTTTGTTGCTTTATGATAGAGCACTGATGAACGTTCTCTGATGAACGTCTTGACATCAGGATGCCGCTAGAGCTATGCATCCGCACTGTGCATCAGGTCCCAGTTCTTCCTGCAAAGGGTAGAAATATCAGTGGGGTCTGACTCTTAGTTTAACTGTAATTCATGTGGCCATTTGTATCCATGATCACAAGTAAATATGTAAAGCGAGCAGATCCAACTTTACAGTAACACAGACAGACACAAGCGGATGTATCTTCCTCTAGTGATTAAGGGAAGTGCCAAGTGTGGAGTCAAGTACTGTTTATTGCTAACAGACTTTGGACTGGATAAAGTAAAGGATTTAAAGAGTAAAAGCCACCAAACCGCACCCATATATCTATTTGCAAAAATACAGATCCTCAAAACTCCCAACCAGCTGCTGCCTATCCATCTACTTACATACCATCCTGAGGTACATGTTTTTCATCCTCTAAAATTCCCTAGGTAACTAAATAAACTTTAGAGTACACCCAGAAAAAAAATCATCTAAGCTCCAAAGGAGTAAATATTTATGGCACATGTAAGCTGGGTTTTTATTTACACACTAGGCACCCTGCTGTCACAAACGGCTGTAACAGGAAAGTTGCCTTAATCACTGCTGCTTCTTTCTGTGCGGACATCAAGGCTTATGCAGCTGTGCAGAAATGCAGAAGAGGATATTATGCCGCTAGTTTTTAAGAACTGCTCTAGCAACTGTTCCCTTTGAAGGCAAAGGCACAAGGGCTGGGTGCAATTATGCCTCCATGGTTGAAAGAGCTATTTTATTTGTCACTCTGAGGCTTTAATGCAATCAAGGAGGGCTATGGCTCTTTAGTCACAGCAGAGGGTAACAGAACAGAAAGAGCTTACATATGTCTTACCCATTTGTAAATAGCAAGTAAGAGCCATATCTAAGATGGCTCAAGCATTTTGGTGTTCGTTGTATACAGTGATGCTTTGGAGTACGCTCTTTACAAAGTTCTGCTGCTGAGTTACAAAAGCAGTGTTGGGGAAATATGCAGGAATTGTGTAAATCATGTATCATACAATTCTAAGACCTAACCCTGCCTTTTTTTTTTTTTTTTTAAAGACAAAAGGTTTTATAATCCTGCCTCTTGTGACAAATTGTAAGAAGATAGTAAGGTTTTCAGAGCAGGAAAACAACTTACTGCTGTGGTATAAGTGGCATGCTATGGGGAGTTTAATAATAACAAATAAAATGTTGCCTGTGTTACTTCACTCTCTGCCTGCGTCTGTAAAATGGCATAATACTGTTCATAGTATAAAGTATATAAGATTTAGTTCTCAACTAGAGTTTATCAAGAGAAAATAAGTTATACTGTATGATAAGAGCTGTTGGTATAAGAAGGGTTAATAGCTTGAGGCATTATTCCTAAGGACAGACAATGGTGCAGCACAGCCAGCTGAGGAGAGGACAGGCTAAGTGTCAAAAATTCAGCATAGGACACTTGAATATTGTGATGCCAGCACTCAGCTCAGCTTCACAGGCTTCCCAAATTGCACAGGAAACTGGGTCCTATGCAGCACGCTGTCCTGAACTCTGACCAGAATGCCAAGCAGAAAGCAATGAAGACCTCCAAGAAGATGAAAACCAGTGTGGGACATCTATCAAAATTTTATTGAACCTCAGAAACACTGTGTGTTAAAATTGGTAAACGTCTCTGACTTGGGTTACCTGCCTCAACAGAAACTAAACCAAGGTACTAGAGGTGACCACAGCCTGTGCTATAACCAGGTTAGGTTTACTCCGTTGACACATACAAGGAGTGCAATGGCATTATCTGCTGCCTGTCTGGCGTGTTGTTGTATGGCATAAGTGCGACATGATCATCACCAGCGGTTGGTAGAGATGTTGTGGCAGCAGGCAGGGTCTGCGCTGTGGGTTGGCTCTTTGCAAATGCAGTGCACACACACATATGAAGCCTGACAGTCTAATGGAGCTTACTGTAAATTAAGACATCACATCTTAAGGACCTCTTAAGGGATTCTTTTACTTTGACCTGTGTCTCTTCTCACAAGATCACCTGATATTTCATTACAGGCCATTCTCTTCAAATTTCAATTCATGAAATACTAGCCTGATTTTCAGGCCAGTATTGATTTCATTTGAAATTGTTGTTGCTTAGTGCCGTGGCTAACCTGAGTTTATATTTTATGAGCATCAACATCCACGTAGCTTTTATGACCTTCCCTCACTTTCTCAGTTTGCTTTAACAAAGGCACCTCTCTGAACTCAGGAAGTCATGAGTAGAATAAGCTTGAGATTTATACCTTTGTATAATGTCTTTTCCAGCCAGACAATGGTCATTAGGCTTTTGTCGGAATTGTT